AAAGCTACTATTACCGTACATCTAAAAATTAAATACAGATTATTTTATTTACTAACAAACAAGTGACTGTGTTTAATTTAACCTTTTGCGTATTTTTGTTGATTATATATATATATTTCTGCTCAAATTGTATTATTTTACATTTTAATAAGGATTTGTTTGTTTGTTTGTTTGTTTGTTTGCTTTGAATTTTGCGCATAGCTATACGAGTGCTATCTGCGCTAGCCGTCCCTAATTTAACTGTGTAAGACTAGAGAGAAGACAGCTACTCATCATCATCCGTCCCTAATTTAACTGTGTAAGACTAGAGAGAAGACAGCTACTCATCACCACCCACCGCCAACTCTTGGGCTACTCTTTTATCTTCGAATAGTGGGATTGACCGTCACATTATAATGCCCCCACGGCTGAAAGGTCGAGCATGTTTGGTGGGACGGAGGTTCGAACCCGCGTTTTAATAAGGAATCATCATTCAAATAACAAGAAATCTCAGTGACAAAAAATAAGTCCGTGGGGTAACGTTAGTGCTTTAGACCCATAGTCAAAGAGTTGCAAGTTCGAAACTTACCTGGAGTTTCACATTAGTTGTTTTGATGTGATGACGTGGCATCCCATACATCCACAGTAAGTTTGTCATCATTCTTATTTAATTGTGGCACAGAAAACCGGAGTTAAGTGCCTGCATTATGTGTCTTTCGGAGGTACGTCAAGGATTGTTTTTTGTTTTTTCTCATTTGTCTTTAGAGCAAAGCCACATTGGGCTATATGCTGCGTCAACCACAAGGAATCGAACCCCCGGATTTTGACGTCGTACGTCCGTAGACTTACCGCTGCTCCACCGGAGGAAGACAAGGATTAACTTGTTTAAATTAATCAGTGAAAATTGACAGATTATGTCAATTTCTACATTGTTATAAGAGGCAAAATCTAACGAAAAATGGAAAACAACATGTCAATATTAGCTAAGATAACCTTCTACTAAAGGAAAAGGTATTCCTTCTGTTGTATAAGCACGAAAAATTAAAGTAAAAAAAGAAGAAAGTAAAACATTGCGTGTTCTTATACGAATTTTAGATAAGTAAAGTATCAAATCTGTTACGTAAATGTTAGTTTACAAGGATTCCATGCCTTTCATGCATTTAAAAGTGAATCGTAGTCCAGGTGGTTTATAACAGATTCTAAAGAAGTGTGGTAAGTACACAAGAGTAAAAAATATCGTCACACACCTGCGAAACTGTATAACCAGATTGGTGCCCTCTGTGGGTTTATTGAAAGAGAATTAACAGAAAAGTAAAAAGAAAAAGAAAAAAAGATGGTTCCTAGATGGCTTTCCTATAAAAATAGTTTCAGATCTTCTAAAGTTTTGTAGAGTGTTCGATGTAACAACTTCCAAAGAGTGGAAACACTTCTAAATAATTTTTTTGACTATGATGGACATGCTATGCATTTTCACGCTTGCAATATTCAAGCAATAAAAATGAAAGAGAAGAATAGCGAGTAAAATAAATTGAAAAGTGTACTTCATCTATATATATATACCAATATAGTATTTTATTACTTTGGGATTTAATTTTCAAAATAAAATACTATTCGATCGGAATTACAAAACCTAACTTGCCCCCCCCCCAGTGGCACAGCGGTACGTCTGCGGACTTACAGTCAAAATAAAATACTATTCGATCGGAATTACAAAACATAATTGCCCCCCCCCCCAGTGGCACAGCGGTACGTCTGCGGACTTACAACGCTAGAATCCGGATTTCGATACCTGTGGTGGTCAGAGCACAAATAGCCCATTGTGTAGCTTAATTACAAACAAACAAACAATAAAACATAATTAAAAGATAGAGGGTTAATACGATTATTTAAAATCCACAATACATGGACAAAATTATCAGAAGGGTCGAAATTAGCTCTTATATTCTTTTGCCTGTTGCTTAATTCCTAATAGCTGTTAAAAAGGAAATAATAAAGATGCTCTGGAAATGTTTTTTTAATTAAAGATATTACCATGAAATAGATCCTTGATGAGAATCATGTTAAGTAAACATTAAAAAGCACTCATCTCTGTGATACATCTTAAAATTGGAATA